GGGAAGGGTTAGACCACATTGAGTTAATTGTAGGCAGAAACTTACCTTGCACTTCAGTAAGAGGCTGTCTCCGTGGCATGGACCTGTGACCTCCTGGTCTCATGGAGAGACGCCTTTCTGTTTTGCTAACACTCCCCTTCTTGTTTGGTGATTTCTTTACCTTTAGAAAATGTAAAGAGCCTTAAATTGTCTTAAAAGATCAATTATTGAGTTATGGTAGCAAAAGGACCTAAAGGGAGTGAATGGACATTATGTTGGGTTAGAACAGTACAAGGTATTCTTTAAGCGGGATTTAAAGTTGGTAATGGAAGGAAAATATCCTTTTGGAATGATAACTAAGTTGGGGTAATACACTGAAATACCTATTTCCAGAACTACACACCCTATGCCAACAACAACAAGCATCTGTGGCTGACATGTGGACACGACAAGGATGGTATCACAGCTTTAGAATGCACTTAAATGATTGGGAGATTGATTAGGTAACAGAGTTCTTCCAAATTCTATCCCGGTGGTGTTTCTCACTAGAGGAGGACAGCCTGATCTGGTAATTTGACAACAAAGGGAAGTTCTCTGTAAATTCTGCTTACAGAGATTTCAGTTCGTACAACAATCAGGTGCGCTCTTGGCGATGGAAGATGATCTAAGGTAACATGCTTCACCTGGCTATTGACTAAAGAAAAAGTTCTAACACATGAAAAGTTGATCAGGAGAGGTGTACAACTATGCTCCAGATGCTACCTTTGTAATGAACAGGGAGAGACAATTCGTCATCTTTTCTTGCTTTGTAAGTGGACAGATCAGCAATAGAAAATTTTCATCAACTTGAGGAAGATAAAATGATTAATGCCAGGAAGAATCAAAGAAGTGTTTAACTGCTGGATAGTGATGGCAATGCAGCTAGAAGAGAGGGGAGATAAAAGATTGTCCCAACTTGTATTTGGTGGTCTGTCTGGACAGAAAGGAGGGAAACAGAGATATTTTGAGGGCAAGTAATGCAGCATCAGAAGTTTAAAATGAACTTTATAGGCCTCTCTATTGTTTTTGGTATAAACAGAATCTGTTGGGACAAACTGAAGATATTTTTGATGTTCTTGACAGTTTGCCAAGTATTTTAACATATAGGAGCCTATATTGTAAGTGACCCACTTTTGAGGGGGACTGCACAGTTTCTGTTGTAGTATACCTGTTGATATTAATATAATTGTTACCTTTATCAAAAAAAAAATTATTCGTTTTGGATCTAGCCCACAAGATTTTCCCCAAAAGGCCTAGTACCCATTAAGAGTATCCAACATCTTATTAGTGGCTTCTTTTGTCTTCTCTACTTTCCATGTGGAACATTGTTCACACACACCCAGCAATAACCTATTTGATCCAAGTTCCACGTGACCCATTACCATTTTATTTAATTTTTTGAAAATGGTACGTGACCCATCACCATTCATGTGCTGATTCGGAGATTAACTGTTGTGTCACCCACACAATCCAGTATTTACGTCATCAAAGCTTATTGGATATTTTTTTTGTGAATGCGTCTTCAGCGTTATGGGTAAAAGATAGAAAACTGGCCCGTAGAGCAAAGATGCTTAGTTGGGCCCTGCCCGAGACTCCCCAATCTCCATACTCGTCTCTCCGAACCATTGGCTCTGGTACCAATTTGTTGGGCAAAACAAGCAACAAGAATGCACGACTAAGGTGACGAAGGTAACAGCGGAAGAAATACAAGTGTAAAATTCCCTAATCTATTTGAACAAAGAGGAGACCTCAAGCACGAGCAAAAAAAGGAGCGGGCAGAAACTATAATCACCCACCAATAAATATGACAATGCAAATTTAAATCAAATCCAAGAGGCATCAAATTAATGTGGAAACCCTCTTCAATATGAAGAGTAAAAAATTTACCAGACAAAAGCTCCATTAAATCAATAAGATAGTTAATAAATGTTCTCCAAAATGGCCACAGAACAAGTGCCAAACACAGCAATGATCGTGCAAGTTTGCACCAAGAAAAGCGAGAAATCACCAAAAACTCCGTCACTGTTCTTGGTTGAAACTTGGAGCTATAGGACTCCAAATTGTGATCTGTCAGTTCCTAATCATAATCAAGATGCAAGGAACACTCTGTTCAAATTTCAGCTCAATCTGATAGAAACAAAGCAGAAATGCCAAAAGAAGTCCACTAATTTTTGCAGAAAATCTGCACTTCACCTCTCCTCTTTACAAAGTGGTTGTTGTATTTTGTCCTCTTATTGCCTGCAAGCTCGTCTCTCTCTCTCTCTCTCTCTCTCTTTCTCTCTCTCTCTCTCTCTCTCTTTATATATTGACATATTAAGTTCTCTGACTGAGCATCTTCTGGTGTGCAACAAAATCAGATTTCTGGTTAGAGCAAACCCCTCCTGTTTAGGTTCATAACATTGGTTTCTGTGAAGGCGTGTGTAAAAATGGGAAGCTGAGTATTGCACTATTGCCACACTTGTTTAAAGTAGAGGCTTCTGTTTCTGTTGCTGCAACTGGGTCATCTGTATTATTTTCTTTTACTGTTTGGATTTCAATAAAATCTTCTAGGGTTGTGAGTAATGTCAAACTTGTCAAAGTATAGGCTTCTGTTTCTGCTGATGTGGCTGAGTCATCTATATTATTTCTTTTGTTAATCGCCTTCCTGTGAACTGAATTCTGCATTTGTTTCTTTGATTCCTCCTTAGCTGGAACTGGCTTTTAGGAAAGAGTGCGGAGATATCTCAGCCACTTCAAGTAACGAGGTGAATATCCTCTGCAACTACATACTATTCGAGGGTTTGTAATAATAGCTTTCTAAAATGAAGTATGGCTCTTGAGGACCTGTAAAGCAGCTCTTGCTGCTGTGGTTTCCACCTTGTGCTATTTCTTCTAAGTGGAGAATACTGATCTTTCTTGATCTCTCGTCTTCTCAGTGGAACATTTCTCTTATGGAAACTATTATTCATTTTTGGTCGCAGAATATTTGCATGAAGATATGCAGACAGATTCTCATATGGGTGGAAGAGCAAACATACTGGATTGCTTCCCGTTTCCTGATGTTGGGCTTTGAATTAGACCTGTATTCTACTGGTGAATATTGTATGGTCTATTGGTACATGTATATTATCCTGATCAAGCTTGCGGAGAGAACACATATGAGGGCAATGACAAGCAATGAAATCAGTAAGAATGCTGCTTGTTCCAACCATCTTTTTTTCCCTAGTTGGTGCAATTCTGTCGAACAATTCTGGATCTATATCCTTGGTAACCTTATATGTGGATTTCTAGTTTTCTGCTGAAAGTTCTGTTGTACAAGGGTTAGTATCTTTTGGACAATAGGTTTCTCTTTTTCTGTACTAAGGTCGTACAAATTGATTCACTGGTTGAAGCTTTACGATACTTGTAATTAGTGGCTGGCTTATAAAGATCTGAACTAATTTTAGATATATCACTGTTTCCCTGTTGAAGTTTCTTGATCTTGAATTGTTTGTATAGGAGGACTTTTTGCTGGATGGTTGAATAGAGCTAGAATGTTATGTCATTAGATCACCTGCCATTAGCTAGAATGCCAAAAAATAAAATAAACCAGGGGGAAGAAAAGAAGGAAAAGAAAAGGTCATTGACATCTCATGATGTATGTAATGGTTTGACTCAGATTGTATTCAACCAAAAAGTTGTGAAGGCATGAGTTGAATCATTAAAATGTTTTTACATCTGATATCTAGACGATGTAGAGGTCTCAAGATATTGAAATTAACAATTGTGGCTTTATCATATGTAAGTTATTGAGTGTTGACTGCACATATAGTTGTGGCTTAGTGGCCATATATATATAATAGAATTCTGACTAGGTTCTCAGTGCTGAGTACAAATTACTTCATGATTGGGGTGTAGATGGTTAAGAATACAAACATTTATATGATCTCTAAGTTACTGATTCTAGTGTAAGGATTATCAAATAGTTTCCAAAGGAACTTACTATTTCCCATAATAAATCGCTAAAATTGTTGGCCGAGGTAAATCTTGATCAGTTGATGGCTACCGCTTGTAGACAACTTCGGACTTGGTACTACCCAACCCATCTAAATGCCCATATTTAAAGTCCCTTGGAGAAGGAGCTAAATTTGTTGAGTCTTAGTGTAGACAATTGATGAGCCGAGGCAATAGCTAGCAAGAGACATTGAATGTTCAGGTATGAAGTTGGAGAGCTGGAATGAGAAAAGTAGAGGTAGAAAGCATGGGGAATGATGTTACCGACCAGCGACATGCAGTTGACATTTTTTTTGTGGACTTTATCCCCAGTTCCCACTCTTCGGTTTCTTTTTATGTTTCCTTCCTAAGTGATGCTTTTGTTTAAATTATTGCTCTGAGAACATTTTGCTGTCGCATCTGCTTGCCAATTCTTTTAATAGAGTTGCAACTCATCCACGGATATACAACAACAATAACAATGTATACATTGTGATCCCACAAGTGAGATTTGGGGAGGGTAGAGTGGACACAGACCTTACCCCTACCTTATATATAGAACAAATATAGAATTGAATTTAATTATTATGGTTTTTTCCACTTTAGAGACATGTATCTAAATATTTTACTTGCATCAGGTAAAAAGAAAGGGAAGAAGAAAAGAGATTTGGTGAAAGATGGAGGAAAAGATAATCAACTCCCACCTGCAATTTTGTTTCTTCAGTGCCATGTATATCTCGCTGAAGGTCTTACCATGGTAATTGGCTTTTTCCGATTTTGTTTATTATGCTTTCAATGTTCACAGCCTGCAAAATTGTTTCTCCCGTTTTGGTTTTACCGTCTCTTTCATATCTGCACACTGCAGTAAGATTTTTAGTTGAACTTACAATTGATTCTATTGCTTGAGAACTTATTGGTAATTGCTTCCTCCAGATGCTTGCAGCTTTGAGGAATGAACAGAAAATCTATCTCAGCACAGGACCTTTCAATAGTGAGCATGAGGTGTGCCTTCTGATATTTGTCACTGACTTTTTTTTTTTGACCAGCATTCGATTTGTGCTTGTCATCCTTGTGAATGGGCATGCTAACCCTCTCTGTATTGCTCCAATTTTATTGGATGTCCCCAAAGAGAGCACAAGTAGCTAACTAATTGTCATCCATTATTGCTGAGCTTACATCTGCTCTCATTGATATGCTTGTCTAGCAGTGACAGGATATACATTTCCATTCTTGACCAATGTTGCAATTTTTCTCAGAGGTTTGTCCAGCACTTTGAGTTGCTTCTGAAAGCTTGCCTGCCTGATCAGGTCTCATATTATTCTTTCGAGGAGACAACTGCTCATGCTCGTCTATCTGTGAGTTATCCTTGAAAAATATTTCCTTTCTGGTCTTTCTTTTTCTTTTTATTGTATATATTACTTGCCTTTTCTTTTTTTCCTTCCGAGGGCTAATTCTGGGGGAGGGGGTTGCAAAACTTGGTCTTCATCCAAAACGTAACATGAAACTCCGTTTATGCAGAGCTTGTCTATGTATAACTGCTTCAAAGAAACTCAGAGAATAGCAAAGGAGCTAAGGAGCAGTTTTTCTAATGATTTTGATAAAATGGCAGAGCTTCGTCGTATAGAACAGGTAGCTGAACATAACAGTGTTGCGCTAAGTCTTATTTCCCGGCTAGGTGCTGTTGACGCGTCACTGAAGGTTCAATTCGAGTTCAGCCACCATCCTTTCTTTGCCAGTGTTGTGGTAAAGAGATCTTGAAGATGGACTTCTCTTTATCTCCAAATTTTGCCATCATTTCACTATTGTGAAGAGATCTTGAAAGAGAATATCTTCTCTTGATCTGCAGTTTTGAAGTATTTTTTTAGGTCTCATTGGATGATGTAGTTGATTTTTTCTTTGATATTTACATTATTTTTCTTTTCATTTATTTATTTATCATTTCCTATGATGTAATATTGTAACTTGGAGAATGAATATCAAATATTTCATGTAAAATATACCCATCTAGTGTGGTTGGTACATATGAGGCTTTGCTACATCATACATTGTGTTTTGAAAATAAAACAATACTTCATATTGAAATTCCAAAAAATTTAAGTGGAGAAGGGTAGAAGATCCAATTCGTTATCCATCGAGTTGTGAATTTTGTGCTATCGACCTTCAGAGATTTTTCGATTATTGAAAAAGAATCTCAATAGTTTCTAACATGCACAGTGATAGCTTCATCTATATGGTTTTTTGGAGTTAGAATCGATCAATAGAATAATAGCTTAACATCCTCTCTCTGTTCATATTTACTTGTCGTGACTATACTAAAAATAGAGGTCCAACAATAGTCGTTCAGTTCTAAAAAATTAATGAATTACTTGTTCATTTGTGTCTACTTTACTCTTGTTATTACATACGCCCTCCATTCCGTATTGTTTGTCATGGTTTCTATTTTTACAGTCAAATTATAAAAACTTTGATCAACATTTTAAGATGTATTTTTTCATCATATTAATATGCGAAAAATTGTAATTTATAATACTTTTCGTATAGTTTTAGAATATTTAATTTTTTTAAATATCGAATTAATGTGATCTAATTTACTTTTGAAAATTAATCAAATTGACTTTCGATAAGCGCAACATAACAAACAATTCTGGACGGGGGGAGTATTATTCAGTGTCTAATACATTTCCCAAAAGCATTCTATTTAATATTAATCAAAATATAATATAGTAATATTACTTCTATTATTTGTATCTTATATTAATTTTATTGCTCGCTACTAGATCAAAGAACAGATCTTTCCACTAATTAATTTTCTCATCGAAAGGATCAAAAGTGCAATAGAAAAGATAGATTCACACTTTTCAAAGTAAACATATTTTAAAAGTTTGATCAAACAGATTATTATCGTCTTTACTAAAAATGTTTGTATCACTTAGAAGTTTTAAGATTAAGAAAAATAAAAATCTCTTAAGAATAATTATTCTTGAAAACTACGGACATTTCCATTATGACACATAAGTAAATATTAAAAGAAGAGATTATAATTTAAGATATAAACAACGATAAAATAGTCAAAACACTTGTTTTAATTAATATTTTTTAACAAACGTATAGAAAAATACGATAAATATTTCGAAACGGACAGAGAATACAAAGAACAAGCTGGTGCACATGAAACTGTATTAATTATATTTCTTAACTGGCAAAACCACAAGCATATTTGCTGGATAATGAACCATATTTGCTGTAAGCTGGAATCAATTATTTCATACTAATTAAAGATTATTGATTAATTAGTTTGATAATCTAAAACTTATCTATCAATCTATCTAATATAATATTAAAAAATTAATAAATTCTCCATTTTCTTATTGGCATATAAATTAATGATAAAGTCAAAATACTTCTAGAAAAGCAAAAAAATTCAAAATTATGTACTAACAATTAGTCCCAATTAGTAAAAATCACTTATATGGATCTTTTTTTTTCTCTATTGTATCTTATTTTATAATAAAGTATTGATTGGTTTTAATAAATTACAAGTTATTCTAACATAAATTTCTTCACATAATTCTACTTCTATACAATTTCTTCGACTCTTTTATTCATCGTAATATAATTTTATACGTATAATCTGATATATTCATCGTTAATGTAAAACATGTTCAAACTATCTTAATTTATCTTTTCTGATTTTATTCTTAATACACGTTATCTATACCTTCTTAAATATATGGTGTATGTGTTTAAGAAGATATAGATAGCGTATATTGAAAATAAAACGAGAGAAGACAGGTTGAGATAATTAATTTGAGCATGATGAGTTTATAATTAGTTGTTTTATATGGTCAATATTTTCATTTAATTAGGACCATCCTAAATCATTAGATTTGAACAATCAAAGTGTAATTGTAATTGACTTCAAGATTAAGTTTGAGTTAATGCATAGTTTAGTGACAAGTCACAGCATGAGAAAATGATGCTAATTAACGTCTAGATTAAAAAAAGATAATTCAAAGTTGACAACTAATTAAAAAGATATTCTAGGATATTTTTAACATCTAGAAACTATAAATTTCTTTATAGAAAATATTACAAATAATCAATCGAAAATAACTTCTTTAATTCATAAAAAATAATAGTAAGTTATTAAAATTGGTGTACATCTTCATCTTTTTCAATTATCACTCGTAAAATTATACTGAATATATTGTTATTATACAAAATATACATAATTTAAGAAATAAAATAGACAAATTTTATGTTGTTCACCGCAATTAAGAAATCATTAAAAAGTGGAACAAAGAAAAATTATAAAGCTAGGTGTAGTCAAAATTAGTGTTTAATTTTTTGTTAATTTATGTTAAATCATTTGTTTAATTTTTTAATGGGGTCCTCTACTAATTTTATATTAAATAAAACTAGCAACTTTTTGTCAATGGAAATCTTAACTTCTCATTTGATTAAAGTTAATAATAAATTAAAGTAACCCCAAAAGCTAATATCAAATACTTCCATACGAAACCAAATTAAATAAATAAATAACTCTTGGTTCATCGTTACGCAGGTGGAATGATAAATACATTTTTTTCATCTTTAATCAAATATTTTAAGTTCAAATTTTGTCAAAAGTAATTTTTTAATTTGAAAACGCTTTGCTTTCTGAATATAATACGATTCTGACGTGAATATCAAACATTTAATACTAAAAAAAGAATAATATAAAAACTTGCGATTTATTAAAATTATTTTTTTTAAGTATTTGTTTATTGTTCAATTATTGGTTTAGATCTCTCCTTAGGTTGTGTGAGTCTAAAAAAGAGGATCAATGACTTGTTGAAAAGGAATAATACACTAATTGCCCACTAAGCATAAAGATTAGTACTTTAATGTTTAATCATGCTTAATTTTTTTTGTTTTTTTAATAATATTACTTTATTAAAGGGATGCTGATTTTTGTTCTCTCTGTCTTAGAATTCAATTAATTAAAAGCTAATCAATTTTTACAATTTCAAACTTACCTTCCATTATTCAATTAATATAAAGAGACTTATAACATAAATAAAATGACACTTCAGATACATTTATTTGATAGACATCACAATCAAAATAAGTAGTACAGTATATCAAAAATACGCTTTCATATATTTAAAATTAAACTTTTTTACAAGTAAAGTTTTAGACATCACAATAGTCCTGGCTAAATCGTTAATTTTTAATAGGGTCATACAATCCAAATTAACCTAATTCAAACCCATTTAAACTTGAACGACGCAACAAGATTAGATGAGTTATGAGTCAAACTCAATCTTACCGATTACCAACCATAAAAAAATACTAGTACTATTAAATTTTTTCAAAAACAGACTTAAACTTATAATGATATTTTCTTAAATTCAAAAAAACAGATTAAAGTATAAGACAATACATACAACAAAACCTGAAACTATCGAAAACTTACTTTTTAAAAAAAATTACCAATATACCCTTTAATATCAAATTGAGCTAGTTAAAGCTCTCTTGTATAATAATAATAATAATGATATAATATAAAGTACCAAGGTGGTCATATGAACCACAATCATATCTATAAAAATGTTAAAAATACTCAAAATAGCAAGACCAACGTTATAAAAATCAAATATTTATTACCAAATCAAGAAAAAAGAGTACCCCCCCACCCCAACCCCCTACCCCAACACCCCACACATCTTTTTTTTTTTAAAAAAAAAAAAAAATTAATGATTACCACGTACATGTAACTACATCGTGTTCAGTTTCACTAAAGTGCACATGTAAATAGTTGTAGAATTTGTCTATGTGCTCAGCTGTGGACAGCTACTTTACATCTTAAAACTTTTGGGTCCCACTTTAACTCATCATCATCAAATCTAACGGTCCATACCAAATCATTACCATATTATTAATACTATAGTATAAAAAAATATATATTATACATTTATTTATCGTACATTTCCGTATTCTGACAACTTTTACACTAGTTAAATAAAAAAGGATGAAGAATTTTCACTGCCATTGTAATTTTTTAAAGAATTCTCTTTTGTTTGCGAAATATACTGAGAAAATATTTAAATAACGTTCGATCATGAAAATAGTATTTTCTTTAAGCAAGAACT